ACCGAGCCCGGCTTCCCATCTCCATTAAAAAAAAAAAAAATTAGCCAGGTGTGATTGTGTGCATCTGTCATCCCAGCTAGTCAGGAAGGTGAGGCAGAAAGATCACCTGAGCCCAGGAGGTTGAGACTGTAGTGAGCTGTGACTGTGCCACTGCACTCCAGCCTGAGTGACAGAGTGAGACCCTGAATTCCAAAAAGAAAAAAGTAATAGCCATTTTCTCTGAGGTGACTGCCATGCCAGGCCCTGAGTTAAGCACCTTTTAGTCAATTGTCACAGTGTCCTGACAGGCCAGTGTTCCTCGCAGAGAGGAGGATGCTGAGGCTGCCAGAGGGAAGGATTTGCTCAAAGGCCCAGAACGAGGAAGTCAGGCAGCTGGGACCCTAGCCCAGGACTGACTCTCAAGTCCACGCTTCCAGCCCCTTCTCCCCCGGCCCGGGCTGTAGCGAAGGGTGCAGGGGGTGACAGGCATCTTACTGTTCTCCGACATCTCCAGGACGTAGCGGATCAGGGGACTGTTGCCATCAAAGGGCTTGGCCCACGTCAGGTTGATGGCCCGCCTTTCCACGGTGCTGAGGGTGGCCACTGGGTGCTCGGGAGCGTGGGGCAGTTGCCTGGGGGGAGAGCGCGACACATGGTTGGGCCATCCTGTGTGGTCTCAAGGCAGGTGGCGGGGCACCGAGGACACAGATTGGGCGGGCCCTGCACTTCCATGACGCCTTGTGCTCAGCCACAAAACGTGGCCTTTGGGTCCCTTACCCGGACAGACTTCTTCCTGGAGTTGCAGCCCCCCTGCTAAAGCCATCCCACACCCTCAGTTCTTGACAGGGGGCCTGTCTGAGTTGAGGGAAAGGCCTGGAAGGGTGCTTGGAGCGTGTTCTGAGAGTGGAACAGACCCAGGTCACACGTGGCCTGGTGGCCTGACAAGAGGGATTTAGGTGGCTCTGAGCCTTCCCTTGGAAGTCTGCGCCTCCTTTGCCGCGGGCCTGGGAGGGCTGCCCTCACCTGACTCGCAAGTGAGCACTTCGAGAGTCATTGCCTCCTGCAGAAATCACCCGGCAGGTGTAGGTGCCAATGTCTCCCGACCACGTCTGTGAGATGTGCAGGGAGCCATTTTTGTCCAGGCGGATACGGGGGTTGTTCTCCATGCCCAGGGTGGCCCCGTCTTTCTCCCAGGCGTATCTAAGGGAAAGAAGTATCAGTGAGTAAAGAGAGAGAGGGACGTTTCCTGGGTGGTGGGCGAGGCCAGAAGCTTGTCCTGAGAAGAGAGCTCCCAGGTGGGGAGGGGCAATCCCCGGTCCCAGGAGTGCTCCTGTTGCTGGTTTTGGTTATGCAGGAAACCGTGGCTGAAGACTGAGTGGACTGGATGTTAACCATTCCCGTATCTGGGAGAGTGAACGCATTAAGTCATAATCTGTCCTTACACTTTCAGTTTGGGTCAGGTCAAAGCGCGGTTGCTTTTGGCCAGAAGCTATGGCAAAACAGCCGGCACAAAAGAGCCAGCCGAAGGTATTCTTCCGACGAGGTTAAAAGGTTACAGCCGGAAAAAGAATTAAAGTTTCCGCATAGACTACATTTCAGAATTAGTTTTATGAGGGGAATCGTTAGATCAATGCATCACTGTGACAAATTGACTTTAGTGTCCAAAAAATCACTTTAGCTTCGGTCAGTCAGTACAAAGGAGACTTGAGAAATTACACACATCCTTGTGCCTGACAATAAGAAATATCTTCTCTGGAATTGTTCTTGAGGAAATACAACCATTATCATAGTCGTCAACACATGTGGAATGCCAGCTCCGGGGGGTAGGATGCCATCTGTCCCCCACCCAGGGCAGGTAGCCTTGGTTCTCAGCACAAGGGCGAGGAGTCGGGGTGGGAGGGTGTGGGATGCCCTGAAAACAGCCTAGTCAATGAGGGGGTGGGGGGCGGGGACTGAGTCACAGGCTCCCAGAATTACCTGGATTTAGAGAGTGTGTCTGTAATTTTTTTTTTTTTTTTTTTGAGTTGGAATCTCACTCCGTCGCCCAGACTGGAGTGCAGTGGCCGCTCCCGGCCACCGCAGG